CTTCAGTGCCATCATCAGAGGGCAGGGCTGGTGTTAGATAGGTGCTGAGTGCTTCTGTTAGCACTCCCACTTCTCCCCATTGATGGCAGAAATTCCTTCCAGAAAAGGAAAGGATTTTGGTCTTCCTTACTAATGAAAAAACCAGAATTTCTATAAAATCTTAAAAATCACTGTCCAACTTTTAAAAAAAATTATTAAACTTATAAAAGAGCCTACTCATCAGTAAAATCTCCTCTTACTCTAAAAATATTCAGTTAAAGTTATGTTTTAGCATAACTGTACCAACAGGAAACTTTAACTCGGGACACCAGAGCTAAACAAGACTCTTGTTTTTTTTTCCACACTCTTTTGGATTTAAGTTTCTAAATAGGTATTAACTTACTGCTTGGTGTGTGGTATTGCCTAATTTTGTATGAAAAATCTCAGTACAAGACACAAGTTGGATTCAGTGTATACTCATTCACACCTCATATGACTGCGTTCTAGAGAATGCGTACCCCTTATGATTACCAAGGTACCATATTGATAATATACCATGGTACACCACCCTGGGCCATTCAAATTAGGATGATTTTACACGACCAATGCTTGAAAAGGATCTGAGTAAGCAATTACTAGCAGAAGAAGCCAATTAGAAGTTTTCCTTACAGTAATGACATCCTCTCACATATTTCTAATGATCAGAACTGACCATAGTCTGACAGACCTTTGCTGTCCATGCAAAATTCAAATCAGCAATACGCAGAAACATCTAGAAGAAGATTGAAGTGTTGACCTAACTCCATAAGATTGTAATCATCTTCTGTTTGAAACACTACAATATCAGGTCAGACCAAAAGAAGCAGTTTGCAAATTTTGGAAGAGATGGAGATTGCTTCTTGGTCTCCTTTATGCTTTTTGATGGCCTAAACACTCCATCTAGGAAATCAAAAAGCTTAAAATTTTCTATTAGATCATTAAGTTGGGTAGCATGGGTGATCTAATACTATTAATGTTTCCTTTTGTCAGCTGCAACATTTGCGTACTCAGAACCTGCACAATACAAACAAGTTTTCACTGACTTTTGGAGAGCATGAGAGATCCGTGATTCCAAATGGATCTCTAAGTACAGAGGATGTGCATTCTTTCAGTCAAATAACAGACACAAGATTATGCCAAGTCATTAGTTTTAAAATAAGTAGCAGGAACTAGGTTCTAAAAATAGACACAGAAGACAATCAACACATTCAGAAACTGTGCTACCCTTATTTGAAACATGAATAATTACAAAAATAGTGAAACAACTCGTCAAGAACCCATATTTCAAGAATTAACAACTCTGCCTAGAAACAGAAGTCATCTAGAGGAGCACTCGCAAGAAGCAGTTCTTGCTGTTATTAACTAGAATCAGCTACAGACTATCTCCAAAGGATGCCTTCAGTCAGTAGGGTCTGGCAATGAGGATGCACAGCATATCAGCTCAGTTTTTCTGTCCTACATGGGTGCTCCTTTGCTCTTGGTGTGCCTCCAAGCACCAGATATGCAACTGCAGATACCTATAGCTACCACACACCCTGCTTCATGAGGATTAAGCAGGTCTGTTAGACTACTGGTTGCCAATGAACACTTTCATTTTCTGAGCACAGGCTTCCCTACATAAGCAAGCCCCAAGTTAATTTCAAGTCATTATTAGTTTTTGACAACATTTAAGATCTCTGAATTGGTATTTATTTTGAGGCTCTTGATATGCAAATCAGTTATGCTAAATTCTGCAGCTTTGACTCAGTTTAGATTATCAGCATTTACCTGCAAATATATGAATAAACACTAGTGAGACCATCCTTTTACAACCCTTTTAAGATCAAAGAGTCAGTATTCTGCCTTTGAGGCTTGTCAGTTTAAAACCTGCACTAACAATTAAAGGATTCCCCCTCCTCCTTTTCTGCTGTCTTCTCCCTCCCCCAAAACCAAGAATGAAAAGATTCCAGCCTGCAAGAAATGCCCAGACTTTTACCCAAACTTCTTAGTAATGAGAAAATGTGCTGTTCTGCAGTATTTTTGCAAGGCTCCTGTTTAATGGGCTCCATCCTACATGGCTGAAACCTCACAATGAAAAAGGATCTGGAGAGATCTAAGCTTCCATTAAAATTAGATGCATTTAGTACCACTTACTAGCAATACTTCAAATTTATTCACAGGTTAATGTCAAAATGTCATAAGAATTACACTGTGTGAGTGCTTACTGCTGATATCCCTCCATCCATAAGATGGAGTTTTGTTCTTTTTCACTCAGTAGAATAGGTTACTGTGTTTTCCATAGACAAACAAAATATTTTTAAGTATGTAGCACGATAACTAGAGAAAAATATTCCAAGTGATAGGAGGCACATCTGTTGCTCTACACTGGTATTTCTGAGTTACCATGATCATCCTCACTGAGACGCAGAGGCTGCAGAGAGGACAAAAGTATCCCACTTCTGTTTTATAAGAGATAGAAGGTGTCTTTTGTTTGTTTCAGAAGAGGACAGTATCAACTTCAGAGAATTTACATCATTTATTTTAGACAATAGCTTTTTCAAGCTGAATATATTTCAGAGGAGGACAGGATTATTGGTCATTTCATAGTCTGACATTTTCTTGACTGACAGGCTGCTGTAGCCCTGCTTAGCAATAGGAAGAGATGTGGAATATGTCAGAGTATTTTCTCTGCCATACAAACATGATTATATCATTTTTCTCTTCTAAGAATTGCTACCGACATTTACAGGATGGATGGAGCTATAAATGCTCATGTCCTGAGGTTGTGCTTCAGCAACTCTCTGTAGCCACCTGCATCACCTACACTTGACTACCCAGCCCTTTTCTTTCAGAAAGAGCACATCACAGGACTCTTCAACAACACATTTGTGCAACCATGACAGAAAATAGCATTTCCTGTGTTATTTCCATGACTCTGGATGGGTGGAATAGAGCATAAAAACAGGCTATTCTCTAAATGACCTAAAGAAAAAGGATGTTAAGTTCCCATGTAGAAAAGAATATTAGAAGTACAAAAGTGATAACTAAAATGTATCAACAAATACAGCTTGAAGTCCTAATGAGTTCCAGTTGACTCTAAGTTAGAGATAAGTGTCACTGCTTTGCACAATCATATCGAGGAAGTTTTAATTTTTTAGAGCTATGAGAAAAGATAAAGCAAAATATGTTTAAAGGATATAAATACCTATAGTTACTTTTAAAGGAAATATTTTAATTATGCACCATTGTATTCAGAATACACAGATAATAGTTTTCATTACAATGTACATACCGAGTATTAAAATCACTATAGAAAATACACATTATAATCATCTTCCATTGAGGTTAATAGCCAGTCTTGGGGAATTCTCATGAGGTTTTTCTCTTTGTCTCTGCTTTCTTAAAGAGGATTGAGAAATGAAAAAGGGGCCAGGATGCTTCTGTACTATACCTGGCTACATACTACAGATCACAAGGTCATTACTAGCTGAGCTAAGGATTCCTATCCAGGGTAAGAGAACATGAAGATTATTAGTTTCACTATGACCTCTGAGTTGCACATGTAATACAGTGTCACCTAGGCTTCTGAATTATTTAAAAATGATCACATTCACACTGTTTATAAAGTCTCCTGCATTATCAACCAGAATTCAGCCAACAGCTAAGTCCTTAGTCATTACAGGCAGCCAGAATAAAAGTGTCGTAAAATTCATTTGGCAAACAAGCATTAATTAATCACAAACTAAATGAAGACAGAAGAGAAAGATATAGAAAATACATACCATGACTGAATTAATGCAACTTATTCCTGTTTGCTTTACTTTCTCCCTTTTAGCATGTTCTTCGCATTCACATTGCCTCTTTAGGGACTCATTGGTACTCTTTGTATCACCTCTATAGATGTATCTGACTTACTGTGCCCTCAGCTACCAGCTTATACCAGTGGCTGAAATGTCATCAAGTAAGTGAAAGTGTTTAATAATCATAGAATTATCTAGGTTGGAAAAGACCATCAAGGTCGTCAAATCAAATCATTTACTTGACTTACTGAGTCCCATCATTACGCCACATCCCTTGGTGTCACATTCACAGCTGTCTTAATTACCTCCAAGTATGGTGACTTCACCACTCCCCTGAACATTCAGTTCCAACACCTTACCATCCTCTCTTTAGTGTTACTTTCGTAGTGAAGGGCTCAAAACTGAATACAGTGCTCAAAGTCTGGTCGCACCAGTGCTACATACAGAGGAACAGTCTCATCTCTGGTTCTGATAGCCACACTATTGATACAGGCCAGAATGCCACTGGCCTTTTCAGTCACCTGGGCACACTGCTGGCTCATGCTCAGCTGGCTATCAACCTGAATCCCCAGGTTCTTTTCTCCTAGGCGATTTTCCAGCCCCTTTTCCAGTCCGATACGACTGCATAGGGTTGTTATGGCCCAAGGGCAGCATTCAGCACTTGCTTTGTTGAACATTGTGTAATTGAACCTGGAACACTGAATCAACCCATCCAGATCTGCCTTCAAAGCCTTCCCACTCTCAAGCCAATTAACAGTCTTGCCTAACTAGGTATCATCTGCAAACATACTGAGTGCACGTTTGAACTGCTCATCCAGATCATAAATAAAAATTTTAAACAAAAAGGGCCCCACCACTGAGCCCAGTGGAATACCAGCAATAACCAGTCACAAACAGTGTTCAACTCCACTCACAAACCTCTGGAGCTGACCACTAAGCCAGTTTTTCACCCACAGAACCACACACCTCTCCCCATGGGGAGCCAGTTCCTTGATACAATAATTATATGCCAAAATGAGATAGATGATATTTTCAGACCTCTGGAACGTCAAATATTTGCAAATAAAACAGTTTAACCCTCTTCTCACGATAAGTGTAATGCAATGGAAAGCACAATAACCACAGCAGTACAGAAAGGTCCCAGGCTACAGCAAGTAAGGACTTACTCAAACACAATAGAAATAAAGGAAAGAAACTGCTTACCTTTAGAAGGCTTCAGACATTCAGGAATCTCCATCAAGAGACCCTCACCTTCACTGCCAACCCTTAAATGAGGTCTGGGAAGGGGTGCATCCTGGCTCCACTCCTTCCGGCCACTCAGGTATATTGCATGCACCTGAGCTCCCCTCGTTTGGCCCTGCCTTCCCACCATGTGCTCAATCACTGTTTTAAGCCATGACTTAGCATTTCTGCTCCAGTAATTTACACATTCCAATTACTTCATCAGTTTGTATTAGAAGAACTAAAAGCTACAAAGCCAGTTTTTCCTTCTGAAAGTAAACATTTACTGATGTTTCAGAATAACTTGCAGTAGCATAAATATAATGTTATAAAAAAATCACAAAATAGGTGAAGTATTGAGCTATTACTGCAATACACTGAAATATTAAATCTGTGATCAAAAGTTCAAAATAATCTCTATCAAATATATATATATATATATTGTGGGTATCATTCTATATAGACTGAAAAATACTTAGGAACATGATTAAACTGCATGAAATGGATTGGCATTCTTTTTTAAAAAGAGAGAAAAAATGGAATCTTAGCAATAAACCAGAAAACTACATAATGCTTAAGTGGTCTTTGCAAGTCCTGTCCATAATGGAGGTGACATACTGCTCCAAGGGGAACACTCAAAGGCGCTGTGTTTTGGCTGTGAACTCCTGCATTTCCCAACAGTGTAATGTTCATTAGAACTCAACATGTTCTCCAAAGAGAACAACTCAACCATTTCTCCCTATTTTGGCTAAAGTGAGCCAAAATTAGATAGCTTGTGTGAATATGAACACTACAGTTGCATATGATTCATCTATTTTTATTTGAATAGTATTACCAAAGTGATCATGTTTAGTCAGATAATAAAAATGACAAGATATTATGAAACAGCAAAAGCAAAAATGATCCCAAGTAGGCAATATAGAATACTAAAAAATAGAGGTGACATTCAAGTCTTGCAATTTCTGTGATGCCTATTTATTCACACATGCATTACATGTACTTATTTTTATGTGTACTCATTCATATGTGAGATACAGTAAATTATTTTGAGAAAGGTGAGTAAATGTGAAATTAGAACTGAAGTAGATAGTATGAAAGAAAAGGAACACAAAGAAAAAGAAGAAGAAGATAAGGCATGCACACAAGAAAGGACAGAAAGTGGGGAGGAAGAAATGAAATGTCTGAGTTGAAGATAAAGAGCCTGGTGACAGGACAGAGGAAATTAGGTGTTTTCTGTTGCTTTAAGTCTTTAGTGACAGCCTGGAAACGTTCTCTGACCAGGCAAGATGTAAGCTCAGAAAACCAAAAATTCCTGAATGTCTGGTATAACACTGATGGATACAGAAGATCCTGAGGATACTAGAGGTTTGGAGATACCAAGAAAGATGTAATGGATCTTTCTTGGAAGACATACTGGGGAGGAGGAGAAAAAGGCAAAGTGTTTTCTCAAGTTGAAACGGTGAAAGTTTCAACCCTCATACCTAGGAAAAATTATACTCTAATCACTTCTTTTATCTACCCACATCTACAGCTCTGGACATAGTAACTAGAGAGTCCTCAAAGAAGGTAAAGAAAAGCACTGTTACAATCCACAGCCTTATCTTTATTGGGCAGAGTTAGAAATGGTATGAAATTTGGAAGGCACAAATAAGGGGAATAAAGATAAGAAACTGCAAAGATGTTCCGATGCTGACATGTTAGGTTTGACAGCAACATGGGAATTTCTGCAGGCAATACCAATCACCCCGTATGGAGGCTGTGCCAACCTGTAAAAGAAGGTGGAAAGGAATCTGGGACTACAGGTGTCACAGTTGGTAAATACTGACTAAAATTGACTGTAAATCCCTAATAAAATTACTGACACCAGTTCTACTGCTAAATCTTTATCATGATTAAGGAAAAGGTAATGATCACACTACTTCAATGAGAATTTTTTTTTAACAGAAGTTGTTCCAGTATAACAGTACTTACATCATTAATAACAATTAGGAATATAAATATTGTGGTACCATCCAAAATGTTTTAATACTTCCCAGAAATGTGTTTTAGAGCATTCAATGGAGAAGAATTCAGCAGACTTGTTTGTGAATTGCTGAAAGTATAGTATGCTTTTGCACACAGAAGACTTAACAGTGCTTCAATATTTAAAACAAAACAAAACAAAAACAGAACAAAAACAGGAAATCAGGAAATGTTTTCTTCTTTTAATGTTCCTTTGGAATGCTGCACTGAAAATTTGGCAATTAACCTGATGGGAAAGTGTCAGTGAATGTTTTATGTCTGCTTTATAAAACAAAGATGTCTGTATAGCACCAAACTGAGTTCCAAACAGAAAAGACAAATTTCTACTGAGAATTGACATTAAAAAATAATGAATAGAAATATTTCCATGAAGCTTGGCAGGAATATGTACACTGTAGATGAACAACTGTTTTAACAAATGTTCAATAGAAGAATCCAGAATCCATGGAGGAAATAACATAACTGCTGATGTCGGATTCCATTAGGATCAGCACCAATGCACTACTAAATTATTACAGGATATTTTATGAACTGTTATTGATGATTTAGTGGTAAGCTAGGTTATGTAGCTTACAAGCTGTCACCTTTAAGGTGAGGCCAAAAGTGAGCCCAAGGATATATCCTAAAAGAAAATGTAACAATTATTATAGCATGTGTGTCAGCAAAGTTCATATGATTCATTGTCCTTCTGGTAATAGGAAAGCTGTCAGTGGGTGCTCTTGGGCATGGTTCAGCTAACTATATAAAGAATGTTCTCTTAAACATTCACCTACGGCTTGGGATTCAGAGGTTGTTTGTCTGATTAAATGGAAAGGAGGTAATTTAAAAGCATCTTCCTTTCCAGATCTGTTACTGTCAATTGGCTTTGGTTCAGAGGTTTCCAATCTGAAGTACATGAGGCAGCTGCAGAGGAACTCTATTAATATTCCTGCATAAAATGCTTTCTTAGCCCAGGTCAGCTCCCCTATGCACTTTTGATGCATTAGAACCTTAATGTTTAACTGAATCGACAAGTGATGGGTTTTACAATCAATGTGCACAAAGGACATGCCATTCTCAAGTAAGCTCACCATTTATTAACTATAATGATAAAGAGGAACATATCAGGTGGAGGTTAGTGCAGCGTTTTGTTCCTCTGCAGTTCATATATCGTACAAAATACACCCACCTGTGATATCATCTGGTATAAAAATGGACTGAAGCTCAGCTCTGTTTCAGTATTGAGTAAAGGAAAGTTGAGAATCCAGTTAAAACGAGGAGAGATGTCACTCTAAATGTTCAAGCGAGGGCAAAAATAAATCTGTAGCATATTTTCCTTAATGTTTTGCCACAGGGTGATTTCCGAACTCGCAGCACAGATGTTTAAAATATGATACAACCTATCTGCTACAATGTTCCATGCTAATTCCTTCAAAAATATGTACTAATTTAGGGAAGGTTATGTTTTCTTTTGATGAAGTAGCTCAGCTCCCACCAGCATTTCCAGGAACTTTTTCATTGTTTTATTTTGTTTTTCTTTAACGGGTAATGTTGGAATGAAGTGGCAGGATCTTTCACAGAAAGGCTAACTTACAGTAGTTTCTGTATAATGCTCTACAGATGTAGATGTTCCCCAGATGTGAACAGACTAGAAACTTAGTTTTGTCTCTGGGAATTCATTCGCCATATAAATCTCCCAACACATTCTTATCTGCTATGTAAATAAGATGTGGAATTCCAATAGTGTCTCAGCATTCTACAGCAGATGGTATAGTGAGATTTACCACACCATTACATTTAATGGGATTGAATTCATTTGGATATCTTGATGTTCACTCTGTCCTTCTCTGAGCAGCAGTGTTGCCAATGTTCCTGATTATATATGATTTGAGAGAGTGCTTAAAGAAGAAAAACCCCTTCATCTTAGAAATATGAGCATTTTCTGTCAAATTTTAAAGTGCATATGTATTGCATTTCAGAGGATTTATAAGCCCTATGAGAAAATGATATTTAATGAATATTCAACAAAGAACTTGAAGTCATTACATTCTAAGATTTTGTAAATATCAGCTATCCAGTTAACTGTTTTAGTACTAACTTCGTTATGTACTCATTTGGAAAGAAATGAGATTTTTATGTCACAGCATCAGTGCAGACAGAGTGAAAACAGGAAAAAATACCTATGTTCATAAAGCCTTTTAAAAACATAATCCAAAAAGAATTTTTTAATGTTCACTTTCAAGTAAATCTGCCTCAACTTATGCAGCAATTGTACTGAATTAATAAATAATATTTTCAAAATTAAAGTGCAAACTGACGCTGCTAAAGCATAATTAAAAATGACAGTGTAAAACACTGTCAACTTCTTTTAGTGAATTATCTTTTCAAAAAATGCTGCTGCAAATGCCTTGATCTACTTGTTCCACAAATTCCTGCACACCCAAAATGACATCTAAAATGTATACAGATGTTGTATGCAGTCATACATTAGCTGATGCTTTAAATTATTTTGTCTGCTTAACATTCTATCATTTCTGCAATACCATGTGTGGCCTAAAACTTTACTCAAAGCAGTCCTATGAATTTTGTCATGCAATTGCTACCATTCCTCATAGTAGGTGTATAGACCATCTTTCTGTAATTAAACTTAGTGAGGATTTCAGAATTTTTCTGCCTTAAAAATTCCTAGATTTTCTAATTAAATATAAAACATTTCTTAAGTCCGACTTCAAGCACAAGATATCTTATATGTTTTATAGTTTTTTTATGAATTGCAAACCAGTCATCTCATCAGCAGTGACACATTCTTTACTACAGTGCTAGGCAAGGACAGCTTTAATTAACACTATCTGTGGCAAACACCTCACCTTTCTCAATACCATGGGCAGGTAATAAGGTAGCTGATGTGGTTGACGCTCAGAATTCCTATTCCAGTGGACACTGTAACTTTTGATTTTAATTTGAAGATAAATGACACAAACAATTGTAGAACTAATGGAGTACAATGGAAAGGTCCAAAATATTGATGGTTTTGATCTAA